CTGGCTGTTGCTGCCCGTGGGTGCAGAGGGTGGAGGCCAAGGTTCTTTCAAGCTGAAGGTTCTGACCTTGGCTGCAAGAAACTTTATGACGAGTTGTGGCTTTCTCTGACGTGCCTGTCTGCTGTTCTGTGTCACTCCCACAGGGACTGAAGGAGAGCTAAACCCAGGGCAGCGTCACAGTCTCCTGATAAAAGGCAATTCTTTGGTGTGAACCCTTGTGTTTTGCTCAGTAGGTCACCTCACTTCCTAAAAAATGTTACCCTGGGCCCTTTCTAATGAGAGGGGTGGACTGTGCTGTGTGAGCAATGCCTGGATCAGTGTTCAGGCCCAGTGGCAACACGTGGCCATCCCTTGCTGCTGGGGTTCAGAGCATCACAGTTGAATTTCACATGTGGATTTGGTGGCCCATGAAAGCTTCAGCAAGTCAGGGATAAACTCCTACTGCTCTCCTGGTGCAGTTTCTGTTGTGTACCTGGTGCTGGTGTGTTTGCTTGGCCTCTTTCTGCCTAAATTGGTGGGTTTGATTTGCAGATAATGGGTAGCTAAAAGGAAGTTCACTGACAGAGCAGCAGTTGTGATTGTTACCATAGTTATACTTAGTCCCTGCTTGGTGCTGTGCAGTGCTTTTCAAGCCTTAATTATCCGTTTCATGTCTGGCAGGTGGGAGCCCTCTTGGCCTCCCTGTAAACTGTACATGGAAAAGGAACTGCTCCCTGTTCTCCCCCACACTCTGGGATTGGCACGTGACTTCCAAAGTGTCCCCCCTCTGGCCCAGCGACACACCTTAAACCTCCTAATGAGCCTTTGGAACTGTCCTTTGTCTTATGATCTCTTGCTGCAAATGGCTCCTCAGAGCCCCTGAGCTATCGTGCATCAGGGACAGGGGAAGAGGATGAGCCCTTCTTATTCAGATTATGTCCCCCAGAGCAGAACAAGCTGCTCTGGGCTTTATCTGGGGCTTTCAGAGATAGCACTGCCATTAATTCCCATGAAAGCCCTTCTGAAGCTCTGCTGCATGAAAGGTCTGTTCCTCCAGACTGGCATGAGGGCACATTCCCAGGGAGCCGTGGGGGCACGGTGGTTGTGAGTACAATGCCAGCTCCTCTCCGTGGAGGCTCCATTCAGCACCTTTCACAAGCACTCTGTTAATTAATGTAACGTTTGTTAGTGCTCACTCCTCTGGGTGGGTGGGAGCAGGAACAGAGCAGCCTTGTTGCCTACACTCGCATCTCCATTCTTTTTGTGCACAAAAGAGCAAATGCAGGGTGGTACAGGCCCTCCTTCGGCCCAAGAAGAGATGAACCTTTGTCTTGCTTCCACGAGCTGCTGCTTCTCCTCCCCTGCTGTTCACTCACGGGTGAAACTCCAGGCAGAGGCCCTGCCATTTGCTGTGACACGAGCTGCTGTGAAGTCCTTCAGTTAGAAATGTCCCCAGACAATCATCCCTGAATTCCACCTGAGGTCCCAGTTCTTCTCTGAGGAGAACCATTTGGGATGACTCACTGTGTGCTCTCACTGGGCGGTGCAGGAGCTGCTGTGGATCCCAAAGCTGTGCCCCATAGACCCTTCTGGGCATCAGCAGAGTGGCTTTGCCTCTCCCAAGCGAGGTGTATCTCCACTCCAAGCCAGCTCTGGAGCAGGATTAGGGGGAGCTCTTCACAGCACGCAGAGCCTCAGGTTTGGGGGGACAGGTGGAATCTCAGACGTGGAGTCCTGCTTAAAAGCCACTGCTCCCACCTCTGGCTACTTCCAGGAGTGTTTCTTCTGAGGGTTTCTTGGTTTCTACTTTAAAACTCGAGTACAATGAGGCTGAAACCAGCAATTTAGAGAGGAGAGTGTCAGCAAGAGTCAGAAGTGACAGAGTGGGGTTTGCTTCCTTTTGCTTTTGAAGCTGCTTCCCCTTTGATTATATCCCTCACATGTGCAGGTTTGGAAAGGTGATGATTTCCCAAGGAGCGTGTCAGGCAGGTGTCAGCACCCTTACAGTGGGTGTGTGTGTGTTGTAATGAACACACTGGGGTAGGGACAGCACCGTGCTTTGACAGCTGAGGATCATCAGAGCTGTTGGACCTTTTCTCACGAGCTCTGTCGTGACCCGGCGAAGCAAAGTCTGAGCAAGAAGGAAGGAAGATGGCAAAGAAGTAACAGGGTCAGGGACCTTCCTGGATGTCCTGACAAGTGACAGGCACAGCCAAAAACCCGATGCCTGGTTTGCCCTGTGGTTTTTTTTTGTCACTCTCGTGAGCTGACGCGGCCGCTCCGGTGTCGTGATGGGCTTTGGGAGAGTCAGTCGTGCCTTTGCAGTGGCTTCAAAGCTGGTGCAGAAGAAAGGAAACATCGCCGAGACCCTTGTACAAAACACACAGTTCTTCAGATACAGAGGGTTAGGGGAATATTTAAAGCAAATGTTTAAAGTGACACAAAGACAAACCAGCAGGGAAGAGAGGTTTGCCCTCCACTTTGTCAAATACAGGGAGGAAAGCTGAGCAACTCCGAGCTCTGCCGTAGCAAAGATCCGAGCATGTTCCCAATCCCCAGCTCAATTCATGTTTTTAAAGGCCTCACTTGCTAAAAACATAAAAGGCTCTGTCAATTCAATAATTTTTCGCTTCAATTAATCATCCCAGAAAATTGTAAGTTTATTGTCTCTTTGTCTCTGTTTAGCTCGAGCAAATCCAACTTTTCTCATTGTCTCTCTGCAGATTATGAAAAGCTTTGTTGATTATATCATCAAATTAAATCGAGCCCATTAGTGTTCCTCTCAGAACATCACAGTAACAGGCTGTGCCTCAGGTGGCATTGCCCTTCCTTCTCTTTTTAAATCCTTTGCCTGCATCCGTGTCGTGTCTCTCCTCGCTAATAGGAAAGTGTATAAAAATCCCATAATCGTTAATACTGAAGGTTCATTAAGGCTGATAAAAGCAGCACTGCCTGCCACGGTGTTGTTTCTCCTGGTCAGTGCTTTTGGCAGACGCTCCAGACCCACATCAGCTCAGCTGTGTTTCAGGACCCACCGGTTGATCCGGTGACTGTTCGTACTCCATCTCTTGTGCTCCCAGGGATGGCTCCAGTTAGATGATCATTTCCCAAGCCCGTGGCAATAAATGGATTTCTGGAGGCCTTTTCAACTGCCTGCATCCTTTTCCACAGCCCCTGCTTTTGATGCAGACAGCATTCGAAAGGCAGCAATCTGTAGCTGAGCAGTAAAGTCTTGGTTGGGTTTTTATTAAAGCAATGATGTGCTGGCTGGCTGAGAAGTGTCAAAACTGCAATCTTGTAACATCAACAAAATAAGGCAGGATCCTCCCTTACGGGAGAGGAATGCTGAGAGCAGAAATGAGCCCGGCATGGAATTGTTGGATCTCAGCACTCCTCCTCTGGGGATAAGGATTGATGTACATCAGGCACGGTCGGGGTTTTTTTTCCCTTAATAAGAAAAGACCAAAGGCTGAGGGTTCATGGCACATCATTCACCTTTGCCTTCCCTTCCCCTCTGCAGCAGTTCCCCCACAGTGCATCCAGCTGGGTTTTCCTCTCACAAGCAGAGCAGGAATTGAAGTAACACTGAAGGTATCACAGAAGTGCCAGACCAATCTGAGCATGCAATGAAAGGCTGGGGGCACCAGGGGAATTTGGGATAGTAGTTTCAAGTCTGTTGGTGAGAAGAAGGGGCTGACCTGAGCCAAACACACATAAGTCTCAGGAAAATCCCTGGGCACAGCAGTGTGAGAGAGTCTTTCTGCTGGAAAGGGAGGTGTTTGGGGACAGAGCCGGTAGGAGCAGCTTCTCCTGCAGAAACGAAAGCTGATCCTCATCCAAGAGTCTTTGCTGCCAGAGATTCCAAGAGGTCTGGCTGTCAGGGGGTGGGCAGGAATGTGGCTGCAGCTGAGCAGTGTGTGTGTGTCTGTGTTTGTGTGGGCCCAGCTCAACGATGGTGATACAGAGGCAGCTTCACGCCCGTGTCTCTGGTGTTACATCCACAGAGGGATGGCTGATGATGATGCCAAACTAGAGCCCTCCACGTGAGGATTTGAGTTTGCTGAGTTACCCAGGAATGTGGTGGCCTTTGTAATTAAAGCACGAAGGGGTTTGACTCACCATGTGCTTCATTCCCTCTGCTGTCCCGTGCCAGGAATAATTTTAGGGAACCCAGACAGAAATAAAACTCCAGTGCTGAGGTGTTCCAAACCCAGGGTTGTTGCGTCTCTAATTCCTTTTAATCTCAACTGCTGTGAGATTGTCTGCCTACACACCCTGCATTCTGCCTCACCAGGAGCTCTCCTCTGGTCCTTTGGCATAAAACAGTGCCTGGCATGAAAGTTTTTTACATGAATGATCTGGTTGGTCCAAGTACTTGGTTGGAATTCACTTCAGCCCCGCATGCCCCATTGCCACCTGCTGAGGAATGGTGAGTGTGTTCACAGGGACTGTTCTGTTGGCCAAAGGAAGGGACCAGTCCCTGAAATCACCCACTCTCTGCTCAAGGTTCACTGAGGTTGGTTTCTGGTCTCTCAGCCTCCAGGGGTGGCTTTTGTCCTTTTTGTGGAGTGTTCTGTCCACATGCTGGTGGTGGGACACCCTGGGTCATGGCATGGTGCAAAAGGATTTGTGCCCCCCCCCAAAAAAAACAACCCTGCATCAGGACAGGAGGATCAAGGTCCTACCTTGGATGCTCTTGCACAATAAAAATACAATTCTGGCACGTAGAAGAGGGGCTGTGCTTGTAACTGGGTTGAAAAGAGGCAGGATTTATGTTTACAGGTAAGCAAAGATCAGGGCTGGAATTGCCCAACCATTTTGGCCAAGACAAGACTGGAGAAAAGGCCAAGGCTTGCAGTTGTTACTGGTGGCTTCAGGTGTGGACCTTGAGCTGGATCCCATCCAACAGCCCCAGTGCTGGGGCTGGCAGCTGCTGCCTGTGCCAGCTCCCACAGATGGATTTGGAGCTGAAGATGGTGGTGAGAGCGAGGCTTCATCACTGCCTTGTGTTTGTGGTGCAGGAGGCCTTCGAGGAGCAACTGTGATCGATGCCTTAGATACCCTCTACATCATGGAACTCGAGGAGGAATTCCAAGAAGCCAAGAAGTGGGTGGAGAAGAGCTTTGACTTGAATGTGGTGAGTCACTTACTGGGAATGCCTGTCTGTGCCACCTGAACAGCCAGTTCTGATCCCAGTCTGCTCCAAGAATCCTTTGGGGAGGGCAACCATGAAGTCTGGGGGGGTAGGAAACCACTCAACTGATTATTTTCTTTTTGAGGCCAAAGGGACCACGATGATTCACTCCCAGCCAGGGGCCACCAGCTCAGCCTCACCATGTCTGGCTGAAAATAAGATTCAGTGTTTAATGGTTTTGTGTTTTGGTTCTGGGTTATGAAAACAGCCGTAATTATTAGACACTCCAAGGAAGTTTCGTTCATCAAAGAACACGTTCTGTTTCATCTCAATTAAATGTCTGCCTGTGATAAGACAAGTTTTCTGTTTCAAATGCTGTAGATTAAGATTGAAACCACAGATCTCCTTGTCTGGGCCCTTTGTTGATGTGTCACTGCTGGGACTTGCGCAGTGGGACTGTGGCACCTCGGCAGCAGAGTGGGAGCAGAGGTTTGGAAAGAAGAGCACCTCTGAAAATGGCCAGAGGAGCTTCTCTCTGTGGCTTCTGAACCTCTCCTGGATACTTTGGGGAGCTGTGTGAGACGTGCTGGGGCTCTGGGTGCAGCACATGCCCTTGTCACAGCTCTGCCTTGGCCTCCAAGCCAGCTCTTGCATTTCTCGTGGCCCAGCTGATGGGATCTCATCAGTGGCACACAGAGAATGTTAAAACCAAAGTGCAGTTCAAACTGTTATTTGTTTAATGCCAGTCTAGTTGTTGTGAAAGGTGGTTCTCCCAGGAGAACAATGCCTGCAGCTGCCTTTCTAGAAAAGCATCATTTGGGAGGGCACGACTGGCACTCGTGGATTCATAAAAGGCAGACCACATCTGATAAATCTGCTGAAGGGTCTCAGTATGTTGCTGAATCAATAAACAAGGGACAAAATCAACTGGGATGTAATTTATCTGGATTTCATAAAAGCTTTTACCCTTGGTCTGCAGAACAGATTGATCTGTAAAGACAGGAGTGAATGCTATGGATTGATCAGTGGAGTCAGGGAGCACAGCCCAGGGAGACAAGGAGGGAAATTAATTAAATATTGGCTCTGTACAAGGAACTCCAATAGTCCAGAAAAGCGAGGTGGGAACTCCAAGGCCCCCAAGCTCTGCTGGAAATCAGGTGCTGTGATTTGTTTCACCCAACTTCACTCGTCATCTCCAGAAAGCACTTGCTGAGATTTGTGACCTGCAGGTATTTGCAAAGGGCAGGGTGGTACAGAGGTTCAAGTGCCCCTTTGCCCACTCCAAGTGCTGTGTTGGTGGAAGATCTTCCTGGTTTTTGGCTTTGTGTGTTTGTGTGAGGGGAAGGAATCATTTATCGGGCAGATTAGATAGCCAGGAGCAGCTATTTTTTTTTGTCGGCCTTTCTGAATGCAATTGTTTTGACATTTGCTGATCATCAGCTGAGCTGGCAGAGCAGGACTTGTTCCAGGTGAGTGGGTTCTTGAGGGGTTCAGTGAACCACATCCACGTGTGTCTGCTGTGTGGGGTGTGGGGCACACGAGCACCACGCAGTCTGTCTGTCCCCTCCTGTGAGCAGGCTCTGGTCCTCTCTCAGCCTGCACACAGGTGAGTCCTCGAATGACTGAAAATATCTACCTGAAGGAAAGCAGGAATTGCATGACATCCATCTACAGCTGTGCTCTCTTCATGAGAAGATGGAGAATGTATTTTTTTCCCATGGGGCTGTACAGTTTCCTCGTCAAACAAAAACAGTTTAAGGGGAAAATTTTTACCCTAAACTGACTCACAGCTCTTTGCAAGGCCTAACCCAAGGAAGGGCTGGCTGGGCAGCACATCTTTCTTGACTGACTTAGATATTGTGATAAATGGGGCGATTTGGGTGTTTCTCTCCCCTTCAGACTCCACCTGTCGCCGTGCAGCAAACAAAGCGCTGTGAGATCTTAGGCAGAAAGCTGTGCCACGCTGTGGGTGGGGACTGGGAGACTGAGGGATCTGCCTGCAGTCTGTTCCCCTTTGGCTGCCAGTTGCCTGTGCAGACTTTGCAGCAGTAGAGTGTTATCCTTCTGTCTTTTCAGAACGGAGAGGCGTCCTTGTTCGAGGTGAACATCCGCTACATCGGAGGGCTGCTGGCCACCTACTACTTGACTGGAGAAGAGGTTTGTTCCAGCAGCTCTTTGTGCCTCACACAGCCCCCTGCAATGAACTAAAAGGGCTCTCCAGCAGCTTTTCTCTGAGCATCAGATAATCCCTCCCTAACAACGAGGCTAAACCCATCGGTTTTTTTTTTGTGACTATGGAAATGCCACTAATGTTCTTTTAATTAAGCCTCGCATAATTACCTTGCACACACCGTGCACGGCTCATTTGCAAAGATCTTTTCTCCTGTGGGCAATTCTAGCAAGACGTGTTTCCAGTTGGGCACATTGCTCCCCAGGGAAATGCCATTTGCAGGGATCTTTGTCTTTGTACTTGTTCCTTTCTGTTCTAAAGGGGGCACTGAGACTCCACCAAACATCCTTCCAGATTCTGCCTCGGGCTAAGGAGGGCGACTCATGACTCCAGACTCTCCTGGACAGTCTCTCTGTGGGTGTAATTTCTGAGATGAAGTGCCCTGGGATCCAGGGAAGGAGGGTGGCAAACTGCACCTAGAACACCTTCTGGTGGAAAGGCATTGGAACTTCCTTCAGGTCCCTTCCAACCCACACCAGTGTCAGATTCTGTGTCCTGCCAGCTCCTGTGGCAGGGATACAGCTCCACAAAGTGTCCCCTTGCCCTGCAGGTGTGGGCTGGGTGTCACAGCCCCTCCTGTGGTGGGGCAGCCTTTGGATGGATTCTCTATCTCCCTGGAGTCCTGGATAAAACAGAAGGCTCTCACTTCCACTTCCCTTCTTTCTCTCCAGCCTGGCAGAGGCCAGGGCTTAATGCCATAATCTGTTTAATAATGTGGCTGGGCTGGAATTTTACAGCTGGCTGTAGAGAGATTATTCCTTTGCCCTGGAAGTCTCTGGTGAGCAGAAACTCTGATTCAGGGGGGGAGTTTTGTGAGTGAAGGAACTGGAGGACTGGCTCTAAATGACAGCTCACTGCCCATGGCTGGGCCCTGTCCACCACAGCAGGGTGGGATGGCCCCTCACTGCAGAGTGACACCATTGATCCGAGGAGGAGTCACAGGAGCAGCTCTGTTACTTTAGCTGCATTTGAAATGAGTTCCAGGAATGACTTCCCTCTGTGATCTCCCTCCAGGGAAAACTCTCAAAGACTCAGTGCCCCGACTTGGAGTCTGTCTCAGTGACAACTTCAACAGGTTTCAGATCGACAGGGCAAAAAGAAACCACGTTAAACCATAAAACTCCAGCAGTGACCTCTTGAAGTCCAGCCAGCAGTGATGCTCAGGAGCCAGGGCAGTGCCTGTCATGTACCCACTCAGTGCCACTGGGCTGAAAGGCAAAAATCAAGGCCCTGTCTCTTGCTTTCCCCTCTGAACCAACCCCCTTTTTGCCTGTGAGTGTATCAAAGGTCTGCAAGCCCACAGGAGAGCTCAGGTTTCCTCAGTGCTGTATTTTTAGAGGCATAAATTCCTGCCTTCTGAGCGCTACCACGACAAGGGCTAGAGGTAAAAGGCTTGTGTTTTATCTCCTAAGTCACTTACAGGCTTCCCTTGATCAGGACTAATCTCTGGAGCAAAGATAAGTGCTTGTATCAGTTTGTCCCGAAATAATTGTGGATGGTTGCTTTGTGCTGCAAGCCACCCTAAGCTATGATTTGACTTGAAGGCCCCAAACTGAGGCATTAAAAATGGAAAAGGAGCAGCTTAGCCATGAAACCGTGAATCCTCCTTGGAAAAGAGCTGCAAGTGAAAGATTGTTCTTTGGAAATCAAAGTTTTTGCCACAGGAGATGACACAAGCTGGACAAATCCACGTTGTAAATGTTAGCAGTGCTTCACCCTAGGAAGATTTCTTTTGATTTTAATTCGGTCATTTCACCTCTGCCACCCTGGGAAAGGGGAGAATTTGTCCCCAGAGTGTCCTTTGGATCAGGTGAGGGATTTACTGCCAGAGTATGGGGGTGTTGTGAGCTCTGGCTGCTCTTGTCCAGGCTGAGGGTTTGGCAGGGGATTGGGCACAGGTTTAGTGTAGTTTTTAGAGGAAATTCAGAGAGATACCAGAATTCAGTGTGACTCTTGGTTCAGGTCTGTCAGTGGAGCCAGGGCAGCAGCACACCTGAAACAGGGGATTGTTGCAGTGCAGCACTTGCAGTTTTTTATGATGGCGTGCTTGAAAAAGCGGATTTGAAAGAATCCCACGTGACTCTTATTCACAAGGAATCCATCAAATACTTATCCTCTCTTCTTCTTTTAACAGGTGTTCAAGAGTAAAGCTCTGGAGCTTGGAGAGAAACTTTTGCCAGCTTTTAACACCCCCACTGGAATCCCACGTGGCGTCATAAATCTGGGCAGGCAAGACACACGTCCTTACAAACATGTCCTTTTAGTGCTGAGTGTTTGTGAAAGCCCAGGACTCGAGCAGGAACAGCAGCAGTTCCTCAGAGGTGCCCCCTTCTAGTGCAGATTCTTCGAGGTCACTTGTTTTGCCAACTCAAACCCGAGAGGTGCCTTGGCAGAGCTTGCAGGTGACTCAAGTCAAACCCAGCTGTGTTTTATTAATTTTGGGCCGTCCACAGTTTCTCCCTCTACCTCTTGGCAGGGCTCCCTGCTGCAATAGCAGTTTCCTCACTCTCATTTTCCTCTGAAAGGTTGTTTTGTAGTCTGCACGCAGCATGGGTTTGTGCAGTGTGCCCAACTAGATGCATGTGAATTTATCCAGGCTTCATGCCTGGCAAAAGTGGGAAAGGGGGTGGATGGGACTGGCTGACAGCTCTGCTGCTGGAAAGAGGGGAAAATACAGATCCTCTGGTGTTGTCCCTGAGAGCAGCACTCAGCCAGGTGTGTCCTTCCCTCGGAGCCCCAGCGTTTAGTGTCGGGTAGGGGATGTTCTCATGCCAGAGGGGAGCGTTGGGGGCAGGTGAGTTGAATACCTGCTGAAGGTCTGTCAGCAAGCAGAGACAGAGCTGGAGGCTGCACTCCTGCTCTCTGCTTCTTGCTCCCTGCCAATGAGGGCTGATTTGCTCGTTTTGATGCCTCCAAACAAATCCCCCGGGCTAAGAGCTGCGTGCAGGCTGAGACAGAGACAGCAGGAAATGTGGGTTAACAAAAGCCTTTCATCCTCACCTCTTGCAAAACTGGGAGCAGCAGCCATGAAAGTCATTATTCATCTCTTAGCCCAAATCTCCTCTTTGGCTCTGCGGAAGCAAAAGGCTTCCAAATATTTGGCTCATGCCGCTCCGTTGCTCAAATATCACTGTCACCCTTCGTTTGTCTCATGTGCTCGTGATCCCAGTGAAAATTTGAGCCACCACCACGACTATAATTGTCTCTTTTTTGCAGAAGAGACATCCTGCTTCCTCTGCAGCTGATAAAGGCTGGGTAGAGGCTAACCTTTCACAGAAATGCCAAACCCTCCCCTGCCCTTTGTGAAGACAATTGAAACAGCCTGTGTCTGCCTAGACATTCCCAAAATGTTTTGCTGATGACCTTGACTAAGAGCAAAGAAAATCAACATACCACTGAGCCCACATCCAGAGCCCCTATTACTGCCTCCAGCTCTGGCTTCAGGGCCATGAAACTGCTGTGAGGGTTGGATTATCAATTGATTTAGGAGCAGGGATGAAGCGAGCTGCATCCACAGTCTGATGGGCTGCGGGAACATGATGAACAGCCAAAGGCTGTAAACCCAAAGGGCAAGGGATTTACTTGGTGTGAGGGAGCGTGTGGAAGTGGAAGCGGAGGAGGAGATCGAGGTGATGCTGTGAGAGCACACTGACCCCAAGTCAGGCCCAGACCAAAGCCCAGAAGAGTTTTGCAAGAAGGAATTCTCTCTCCAGTTCTACTTTTGTTAATTCCAGAGAGACATCTTCATCCCAAAAGGAGGAGAGTCTTGCAGCGTGTGTGGGCTTGTGTTGGTGGTTGCTCGGGGGGTGGGTTAAGAATGACATTCAGAAATTTGAATCAAAACCCCCCCTGGCATTAGGACAGTTCTGCATATTTTTGAGGGCCCAAGCACAAAGACAGCCACCCCCCACCTCTTCCATGGCCAACTGGCTTTATCTCTCACCCCACCTTTTCCTCCCGTGTCCCCTCTCTGCTGATGTGCTTCCCTCTGGCCGCCTGTTTTCCACAAGCACTGCATCGTATCTCACACAGCCTTGTTTTCCATCCTGCTGCTCCAACTGCCACGTTGCCTGCCAGGTCCTGGAGTGCTTTGTCTTCTCCAGCTGCTGCTCTGTGCTCTCTGTGTTGCGCTCTGATATCTCTCCTGATGCCTTCTGTGCTGTATCCCTGGGCCCTGCTTTCCTTCTCATCTCCCCTAAACCTTCTTCCCCTCCAGATTTTTCCTCATCATCCCCTGCTGGCCTCTCTCTTGACTTGGCACTGGATTGCTGCCTTGGATCTCCACGAGGGAAGGAGCTGATGCAACGTTTCAGCCCATGCTTGCACTAGACAGTGTTTAAGGGAGACCCACTTATGTGGGGGATGAGGAGGGTTCTGGGCATGTTCTTGAAGGCTCCTTTAAGCAGTATCTTCCTCTGAGATGTTACAAAACAGAGCAGCTGTGAAGACCCAGTTTGTCCAGTCTGTAATGCTGAAAAAATGTTTTCCTCCAGAGAGCCATTCCAGGCTGCTCTTTAACCCAGGGACACGTTGCAGACAGCAACTCTGTTTCCCCCCAGACCCCCTGCCCAAGAGTTTTGCTGTGATTTTTAACCCCAGGCTCCTGCTCCCAGCATCACATTCGGTGCAGGCAGTGCCCACCTGTGTTTTTGGGAGGGCACTTCCCTGGGAGAGGGTTGTGCCGGCCCCTGTGACCCCACAGAGCTGCTGTCACAACAAACACAGCCCCCTTTGGCTGCTCCCAGCACTGCTGATCTGAGCTGTCTGGGAAGGCAGTTCCTGTTTGTGAGATCGTAGTGGTTACAACGTCCCTTCGGTGCAGTAAATAAAGGAAAAGTAATTGACTCTTTATAGGTGTGAGAACACTGTGGGGTTGCTCAGCTCACCCAGCCCAGGGCCAGCAGCTGCCAGGAGCAGCAGGTATGGCCACTGTGCTCTTAATTCCACATTCACCTGGTCAGACTGGGGACATTTCTGCCATAAAACCCTCGGTGTTATTGGGGCGCCCATTTGAGCCGCACTCGGCGTTTCCAAATGGAAAGTGGTGCTGCAGCCTCCTGACATTTTGCAGGGCAGGCTGACGTTTGGCAGTGACTGAGCAATTTGAAACAGCGTGAACATATTGCTTATCTAATGGCTCTTTTTGTCTGGAGGCGAAACAAACAGCCCTGGACCTGGAATGGTTTTCCGTATATCACATAGAGGGAAACTTCTTTTTTTTTTTTTTTTTTTTTTTTTTTTTTTTTTTTTCTTCCCCTCCTCCTCGGAAGGATCATTAGTTTTCTTCGCCTCCTGTAAACAAGCAGCCCTTCTCTTCTCCCAGCCAAGCTTCCAGGCGCCATCTAGTGTCACCCCCACCCCCATCCCTGCCTGGAAACCTGTCACCTCCCCGGGATTGACTGCAAAGGGATGGAAAATCGAAGCCGCGTCACGTCTGAGGTGGCTCAGCCAAATTTCCCCGGGCCAGCACCTGCAGAGGCTGCTTTGGGACCAGGGCTTGAGGTCCTTAATATACAACCCTACATTCTTGAGGACACTGCCACGTCTGAGTAGGTTCCAGAGGGGCACGGAGCTGTGACCTGGAGCAGTGGGGTACGAGGAGGAAGAGGCCAAATGTCAAAGCAGATCCACGTCCTTTGGGTAGTTTTCTGTAAGGTTGGAGGGAGAATCGTTGCCCTTCTCATTCCCCAAAAATCGATCCCTTGCTTCGCTTCAGTGCTGATCTCTGTCTTTGCCTGGATTTGGCAGGTGAGGGAAGTCAAACAGAACCTGAGAGGGGATCCCAGTACATCAAACACGGGGGCCAAGGCACTTTATATAACTGGCTTTCTTCACACAGTGTTTGCCACCTTCTGTAGTGCTCTGCTGCCCTCCTGTTCCTGCAGAGCACGTGAGATGAGCACCAGGGGGGTGTTCTCAGAGTCAGATTTGTCCTGTTAAGATTCCCCGTGGCTTTTCCTTGCAGTCAGGTGTTCCCAATGGCACCTTTCCCCTCTCCCTGATGTCGCCCTGCGCTTTATCCCCCTGGATAACACACTGGGAATGTCGGTGCCACGTACACACAGACTGTGAGGTCTCCTTGAGACAAGGTGCCTAGGGACTGTCTGGATTATCCATAAAACATCAGGACATTTGAGATGTGAGAGTTCAACCCAAGGCTGCTTACAGACATGTTTTATCCCAAAATGCCTCGTGTAGGGCAGGTGTCAGCGTTCTTCCAAGCTAATCCGTTTGGGAGGGATTCCCCTCCCACAAAAAATGTGGTTTCCCAGTATGTGTGTTAGCCCAATTCTAAACAATCCTCTGTAAAACTACTGCTCCATCCCACTGGAACTGTTCCTTGTGAGAGTCCCGAAAATCTGTGTGTGTCCTTCCCATGGCCCCTGCTGAGACCTGACAGCACATGGTCACAGCAAAGGGAGATCTGCCCTGAGGCAAGGAGAACCTCAGGCTTTGGCTGTGTTTTCCTGACACTGAAGGCTCCTTTTTCTCTCCTTGCAGTGGCATGAGCTGGAGCTGGGGTTGGGCATCAGCTGGAAGCAGCATCTTGGCAGAATTTGGCACCTTGCACTTAGAATTCCTGCACCTCTCCGAGCTCTCTGGCAACCCGGTGTTTGCAGAAAAGGCAAGTGCTTCCCACCTTGGTCTGTGGTGAATTGGCCTCTTCATAATTCTGGGATGTTTCTCCCCCTGTGTGTGACGTTGTAGCAGTTTTACTCAGACAAGGGCACAGCCAAAATTAAACCATCAAGTGGAGGCAGACTGCACGGGGAATTGTTAATTCTGATATCCCAACAGCAGTGCCTTGTACTTGCAGAGCTTTTTGCTCTGAACAGGCATTAAATGTTGTGCTCCAGCCAGCAGGATTTCTACAGAGGTTATTTTGTTCAGGAAAAGGCCTGACAGTCGACATGCTGCATCCCTTTGTGTAACTTCAACTGAGAATCTATTAATGTTATACATTACCTTGTGCCTTTTTTATTCCACAGCTGATCTTGTAGTGCATGTGAGAACATCTCAATAAATACCAGCGACTCATCAGCTTTTGCTGCACATCCCTCAGGAACCATCTCTGAGGGAGAACAAATTACTCCAGTTCGAATCCAGGCTGCCCTCATGAGCCCAAGGGAAATGGGGCTTGTCCCAAGTCCCAGAGCAGGGTGAAAACAGTGGTTACAGGATTGCCAAAAAAAAAAAACAAACTCAAAATGATGCTTTTCCAGGGTATGTCCAGTGCAGGGTCTGTCAGCTGTGAAACAAGGAGAGAATCTGAAGGAAAAGACAGGAAGAAAGGAGGAGGAGGAAGCTGGGAGAGCAAAGTGGAGATTAGGGTGGAGTGTATGGACAGCAGGAAGGGTGGGGTGAGCAAGAGGAATGTCAGGGGTGAGCAGGAGAGGAAAGCAGAGGGTGAAGGGAAAGAAACCCAGGGAACTCTGTAAGGGAGACTGGTGATTTGAACTAAAGAGACAAGCTAGAGATTCCTGAGGACAGGGATAATGACAAATTGCCCAGAGGAATGGGGGAGCTGAGAAAAGGCCAGTAAAGGGAACAGTGGTCTGGAAAGAAAATGTGTGTGAAGGGAATGAAGGGAGGGGAGTTGTGTGGGGAGAGATGAGCACTGACAACACAAGGGCAAGGAGATGCGCTGCTAAAAACTAGAATTGCATCTACATTCCAGTCTCAAACCCGTGGCATTTTGAGCCAGGGTCAAGCCTCTGTCCCCAGCCTAATATGTTTTCCTCTTTTCCTCCTAAGCCCGTGGAGGGAAAAGGGCAAAACCTTTCTAATGGACTCTCCTGAGCTGATGTGTGCGCAGAAAATATATCACATTCATCCTGACACCCTCTGAGAGGCAAAACGTAGGATGATGTGGGCTCAAACAGCCCACCCTGTGGGAAATTACTTCAGAGCACCGATCCACTCATTAACTCGCGGCTTGGGACTCGTGTGATTTTAGGAAGAATAAAGTCCATCTGTGTCTTTTGTTCAAACATGTCATTAATATGCCAGGCTCCTAAACTTCAGTAAATATTATGCAGCCTGACGACTTACTTGGAAGCGCCGACTTAAGTCTGTAGCCAGCTTTGGGCGTACAAATTGTCTAATTTTATAAAAGGTTTAGAGGGTATTAGCTGCTCTGTAGGTTATAATAGAATATTTATGCTGCACAGCATTTAACTGGGTCCCTTATGGGAAAGGCCTATTGGATTTAATGGGGGTGAAACCAAGGGGAGGGTTTAGAGAGGAAGTGTGGCTGTTCTGGGGGGTATTAAAGGAGCTGCCTGTCGTTGAAATTAAAGGCCCCAATTCATCATGCTAAGTGACCACATGGTGAATTTTAGTACTGTGTGAGTCACTCATCCCTGCCACTCCTTTCCCTTTGGATCGTGGAAAAAATGACCCTCCACATCTCTCACATTTCACATTTCCACCCAGATCCCAAGTCATAGAATCACAGAGTCATGGAATGGTTTGGGTTGGCAGGGTATCCCTAAAGATCATCCAGTCCCACCCCCTGCCACGGGCAGGGACACCTTCTACTAGCCCAGGTTGCTCCAAGCCCCGTCCAACCTGGCCTTGGACACTTCCAGGGATCCAGGGGCAGCCACAGCTTCTCTGGGCAAACCTGTGCCAGGGCCTGCCCACCCTCACAGGGAGGAATTCTTCCTCATACCTAATCTAAACCTGACCTCCTTCAGCTTAAGGCCATTCCCCCTTTTCCTATCACTCCATGCCCTTGTGAAAAGCCCCTCTCAGCTTTCTTGCAGCCTCCTTAGGCATTGGAAGGTCTCCCTGGGATTGCTTCTGGACCATGTTAGTGAGCTGCTTCCACTGCCTGCTGAACTGGGGCCTTGCAGGGTTTTCAGAATCATTTTTAAAATCCCACAGAGCTGGATAAAGATTGGGCTGAGTTGCCCAGCCCAGAGGCTTCTCAGTCCCAGAGAGCCGTGTCGCTGGGCTGCGCCTGATCCCAGCGTTCCAGGTGGCTGTGCTTGTCCAGGAGGGATCAGCACTGAGGAATTAGAAACCTTGGCTGACAGTGCAAGCCTCCAGCTCTGTCAGCAGAGCAGTAACACCATTCTGTCTCTCATCTCTCCTAGGTGATGAACATCCGCAGAGTCCTCAACAGAGTGGAGAAGCCCCAGGGCCTTTATCCCAACTTCCTCAGCCCGGTGACAGGGAACTGGGTGCAGCGTAGGTATCTCTGTGTGCTCAGCCCTGCCTGCAGCGTTTCAGTCTTTCCATTTTTCTTCAGCAAGCAGTAGCAACTGTCAGAGCGGCAAGCCAAGAAAATGTCTTGTCAGGCAGCCTGTTACACATGTGATTGGATAATACAGCCCGATTTGTAAGATGCAATATAGTAATTGTACACTTATTCCATCAGCCTTGTTTCCAGCTGAGTGTCTCACCTCCAGAGAGAATTAGGGCCTTTCTTGCACGGGGGAGGATAATGGTACATGGTCCATCACACAGATATTAGAAATCAGCACATCTCTTTAAGACCTCATCCTGCAGTCAGCTCGGGGCCCGTGGACCTGCTCGGGGGGCTGCACGGGAAGGCTGAGCAGAAGCGCTGTGAGATTTAACTCTGGAATGTGCTGCAGCAAGTAAGGAACCACCTGGAGAGGCAGAGGGCTTGTAAGAGCCTTGGATTCCCCCTCGGATCCGGGGCTGCATTCTCCTGTGTGCACTCCTGCTCCTGTTACCATGGTACCTCTGCATCGTGCGATTTGGTGCGAGAAGGATGAGACAGGAATGTTTTCTTTCCTCTTGCTGAGAGCCCGGCACGGGAGATGTGGGCATTAAGTAAGGTACTGCCCCGGTATGAAAGGGGAGCATTAACAAAGAAAAGGGCTAGAAAAGAGCAAGGAAATATTGGAAGCAGTGTGCCCAGGGAAAGGTGATTTCCTTCCCTGCTTTACACACACAGCCCCTTCCTTACCCAGAGAAGAGACTGTAGCCCTCTCCTTGGGTCACCCAAGTTTGCCCTCTGGTAGGAACAGGAGATGCTGCTTCTGCTGCTCTGACCTCAACCTTCTGCTCTGTTATTGATTTGCTTGTTTTGGTTGCTGGATTTCGTGTTCCTCTGTCAAAGGAATGAAAAGTCTCTTGGTGCAGAAGCTGTTTTGAACCTGTCAGTGGATTACATTTATTGCCTGGGCAGGTTGCTTTGAGTCCTTGCATTACCTGGTGTCTCCATGTCTCGCTGTGCTGTTTGTTCAGCTGGATCACTCCAGACCTTTCCAACTGTATTAATGGCTCTGATGGTACCTGACAGGCAGCTGTGTGGCTGAGGCAGGGACAGAGCTGTGGCTATGAGCAATCCCTGACCTTCAGCTGCCACATCAGCACCTCTAATGGTGACTGACAGGTGTCCCAGCAAAGTGTCTTGGATGGTCACAGTTATCCCATTAAACCAGAGATGCCCTTTGGGGCCATGGGGAAAGAAAACAGGTTTCTGTTCAGCCCAGTAATTAATTGATCTTCAGAGTTATCCCATCCCTTTGTAACCAGTTCAGCTTCCCCTCTGCATTTGTCTCTGCAGAGTTGTTGTTCTGTGTTCCACTTGAAAAGCTCATCTCCCGTCCCCTGCTGCACCTTGAGATCCCATTTCCTTTAGGTTATTCCCACTGGCAGCTCCCAATTCCACGCTGCACATTTCACCAGACACCAGCATTAGTTCTGCCTGTTTGGTGGTGCTGAGAGGAGGAGAAATGCCTGGCTTTGCCATAACTGATCATTACAGAGTCTTTGGGAAACTGAGGAGCTGTGCTCTTAACCCAGGTGGGGACGATTCTCAGCTGGATACCCAGCACTCATCTCTTCTGCCACTGATTTAATTCTGCTTTATGCCTGCAGATTTCACTTCATTGTCCTGACCTGCTCCCACCCCTTGCTGACGTAAAGAGAGGCCTTTTACTGGTTTTCAGAGCATATTAAAAGTAGCCTCTGATTACTTGTTCAGGGATAGGCAGATTTATGCCAAGGCCTGGAAATAACCTGTCTCCCAGACAGACTCTCAGCTGTGGCACAGGCTGTTTGTGGCTGTGGCTCATCATATGACCTTGTGATCTCAATCCCTATTCCAAGGAGGGAAAAGACTGATCAGCCCCTGCTGCATCTCCAGTACTGCTGGTGAGAAAGAGATGAGGACCAAAGCAGGGAGGCAGCTGCAGCCTGTTCCCTGTAGGTGCCACGCTCTCATCTTCTCTCCTGCCATTAAAGCTCTTTGCAGGAAGCTGTTTTTCTTGAAATTGCTGTGATTTTCTTAAAAGGTGCATCTCTGACCTGGTTGGATGAGCAGATCTTCCAAATGAAGAGGCTGTGCTGCACCTCTTCTGAGTGCAGTTGTTACCTTTAGAAAATTAAAGCCCAGTCCCCTGCTGAAAGAGGAGATTTGTTTTATGCAGAGTGCCTGGGAGGCAAACGCTGGCAAAGCTGATGCCATATGGAAAGCAATTATGTACCAGAGCTCCTGCTTTGGTGATTTTATGAATGACACACTTAGGATCACAGAGCTGCTCTTTAAAGACAGGCTGTGCAGCCGCTGTTTGCAAATAGTCTGTCCTCTCTTTATCTTTTTTTTTTTTTTTTTCCCCCCACTGAATTCATGCGTCTAATCCCATTGTTTTGCTATGGATTATTCCCTGGATCATTGGACACAGTGTATCAGGGATGTTTGCTCTTCAGGTCAGGAAAATGCATGGCTGTTGATTTCTTCCGCTGGTAGGATTTAGCATTTAGAATAAGCCTCGGGACTTCGTATTTGTACGAGGCAAAGGAAAAAAAAAAACAAAAAAAACCCTGAACATTCAACTCCGAACACCTGCTGCATCTGCTTCCCTTGGGAACCAGGATGGTGCAGACCCAGGGGTGGACGCTCTTAATTAACAGGGGTTGCTTAATCCGCGGTGGGTAATTTGTCTTGCTCTCCTTGCTTGGCTGCTTGAAGAGTGAACGCTGCTCTTCTTCCCCCCCCCGTGGTAGAGTTTAAAGCCATAAATCCACCCAGC